TTTTTTTAACAGAACCTCTTGGTTCTGGCCCCTGCCATTCTGGGGAGCAACAGTCCGGTTCCTATTCCCCCGGCAAGTCAAATATAAATACAATGAAAACATGCTCACGCTCCCCCCCATTATGGTTGAGAGGCCCGAGTGGACGGCATTGATTACTTCCTTAAGGGAAGGATATACCACCCCTCACCCCTGCCTAAGTTAGCCTATATCCACTATCTTCTGATCCTCTGCTACGCCTAGCTTCTAGCTCTTTCCACTGAGTGCTGTCTGATAAACCTGAATGCTAGCCTATATCCACTATCTTCTGATCCTCTGAGACGCCTAGCTCCTAGCTCTTTCCGCTGAGTGCTGTCTTATAAACCTGAATGCTAGGACTAATATTTGGGGCTGGCTTCTAAGGGAATCTTTAGTAATTGCTGAAAACCTTGCATGAACCTGCTTACTTCTTAATATCTGTTGGCTTTATCTTCTAACGTCCTCCCTCCCTCTCCATTATTATGCTGCCAAGTATTCTCTAATGGGTACTCGACTCCTAACTGCAGTTACTGCATTGCTATTTCTGCAGTAATCGTTTTCTTAAACCTCATCCCCTAGGCTTATCAGGCTACTAGGAAAAGCAAGTCTCAGACCGAATCTACGTCGTAAGCAGAATTTGAAATATGTATTTACTTATTGTAATCTGTGATTTTTTTTGAAGACGGTGGGAGTGAAAGGATCCACGTGTCTTTAGCTCCCGGCCCTGGCACCAAGTCCCATTTTCCCTTTGTATACAGTCCTGCCAGCAGGCCCCCTTGTAGAAACTTCCGTTAAGAACCATCGTGTAGGGCCTGTAGGTCCTGGTACTTCAGGGCCTGTAGATGTCTGGAGGGGTTAGTAGGGTCCGCTTGTTAGTGCTGCCCACATTTCTGTTTGCGGTCAGTTGCAGCTCAGTCCCAGGAAAGTCCTGCTGCTCTCCAAATCATCGCAGGCTGAAGGCAATACAGGTAGGGGCCAACGTCACAAGTCCCAGTTTGGAGCCACGGCAAGTACAACACTGAAGTCACAGCAAGCACCAGGGACTTTTGGCAGTTCGTACGGTTACGGAAGCGCTCTGCGTTGTTGTGCGACCAGATTGTGGACGAGGCAGAGAGAGGGTTAGTACAGAGAGAGAGAGAGAGAGAGAGAGAGAGAGAGAGAGAGAGAGAGAGAGAGAGAGAGAGAGAGAGAGAGAGAGATTACTG